GTCGAAGATGGATTTGAGAGAACGATTCAAACGATTCGTTATTCCGGCAAAGAAACGTTCCGGCGATCCGTTTACTTTGTCAATAAGCCTTTTCTCGGATCGATTGTTACTCAGGGTTTCGTATCTCTCTTTCGCTCCGCACGGATTCGGACGATTCGATTAAATAGCTCGAATACCCGACGCGGGGCGTTTTTTTTCCTCGTTCTTTGTTTTCTTTTGTTTTTTTTTTCCATTGCCTCGCAAAAGCAAATCTTCGTTAAGGTCAACGAGATTTTTCCAAGGGGCCAGTAGTCGCGGCGCAGCGCTGACCGTTCGGCGCTCGCTTGCGAGTCTAATACCTTCCGAGTGACTACGCTCATCCCTTAATGAAATTCTTTCTACCCGGACGTGACCCATTGGATTGCCTTTGCAGCCAGATCAGGTTTTCTCATTATTGCAAATCCTTCATGCCTGGTCCGGTCTGGTCGATGTTATTTTAGTCGCGTGCTGCTTCCTACGCTTCCTATATTGTGTCGAAATATCGAAAGCCTCGCGGGGCGCGAAAGAGCAGTACGCAGGGCGATAGGATGCATTCGTTCGTTCGTTCGTTCGTTCGACCGTATCTATGAGAGCATAGGAATATTTTACTTGCACGCATGTTGCATGCACAAAGCAATTTCGCACCGGCGCGCATTGAAGTTAGTCACAATCGGGACGCATGATTGCCCGTATAGACAATAACTGCATATTAATTTATTGATTATTGGCTATAACCCGGGCGATATAGTATTCATAGAATTTACTATAACAGCAATATATATATATTCGTGCACTAATTTATTGACCAATAACTCGGCGTGAGTTCTATAACGACGACGAGCCCTGGGCAGCGGTGTGGTGGGGTACCAGAGTTTAACGCGTATTATTCTGCATTAATTTACGGGCGGTGCCGATTACGTGGCGGTCAACTTTAATCGGGCGTAATCGAGGAAAAAGCTCACGCGCCGACCCCGATGTTCGTCGAACAACAACAACAACAACAAATGAACAAGGGAGCCACTCACCCGTATGCAGTCGTGTATGCTGTTGCACGTGGCTGAGCTGCTTGAACCTGCGGTCGCAGTAGCTGCACTTGTACGGCTTCTCGCCGGTGTGGACCCTGATGTGTTGCACGAGCTGGTGATTGCTGGAGAACGACTTGAGGCACTGCTGGCACTGGTGCGGCTTAACTTCGTTGCTGGTGATCATGCCGCCTGGTCCGACGCCGACGCCGACACCGACACCCAGGCCGGCCAGACCACCGGCGACGCCGCCGCCGGGCCTCGCCGTCAGTGCACCCGCGCCCAGCTCCCTCGCGTGCATCTGCATCGCGCTCTTGTGCATGAAGATCTGCGAGAAGAACTGCCGGGGTTAGTTGGTACGCTGTACTTTTCACCGAGCAACGGGGGATGGCAGATCGACCCTGACCGCCGCGCATTTCGTAGTCGATCGCCATCATTTTCGCATTGCCGAAACTGTCGAGGTTACCTCGCCTCCTCGGATATCGATCGCGTTTTGTAACAGATTTCAATATTTAACTTTGACAAATATTTATTATTGAAAGGTAAACGGGAGGCGAGGAAATCTCATAATAAATATAAAGAATATTATATCGTAAAAAAAAAAAAAAACCAATTTTTATCGATATAGAAGAAAATTTTAATGAGAATAAGTTTCAATGAAATAATACACTGTTAAATCTATATAGTGTCAAATTTCATCTAATTTTAGTTGCCACTGCTTCTATTCGATGTATTGTTATTTTTTAAAACAATGGATAAATTTGACACTCTGTAGTGTTAATTTGACACCGTGCGTGCAGTGTCAAATTTATCCATTGTTTTAATAAAAAAAATAACGATTTATTGAGTAGAAGCAGTGGCGATTTAAATTAGATTAAATTTGACTCTACATATTAAACAGTGTGTATTTAATGTCATTTATATTTTATATAAAAAACAGTAGGGACGGAACACACACATACTTTTGCAATTCCCGTTAAAAATGCTCTAAGATATTGTATTCTTTTTCACAGTTTCGGCACAGATTTCATAACACGTGCGGTTCGATTGATCCTCGTATCTCTTTGTTTGCGGTAATTTTTATAGATGCATCAAGGTGAAACTATAGCACTGTTATAAATCGAGGAGACGCGCGAAATTGTATCACGGTGTTATATATCGTCTAATCCGAGTTGTAGTGGTAGTTGAACTTGGCGATTAGAAGTTACCAAGGTCGTGGTACTGCAAGGCCGAGAGCCAACGTTTATAATCGCGGAACGAAGGTGCGGTGCAACTTGACCTACTGACCGATACTATAAGCTCTGATTCTGAAACCAGCGTGAGAACTTGGAACTCGACGAAATTCGTAACCTAGCTCCTTCTCAGCCTGATTTAGATTTATCGTTATAGCGCGCGCGAGCATGTGTTTTACATGAACGCGCAACACGATTGAACATGTAATTTTACGATCTCTGCAATATATTTAGTACATCTGTGGTACGTTTACATTCAATCCATCATCACGTGCTTTTTAAACACTCTGTCAATTTTAGGTAGGCGATTATTTCGTCGTTCAGGTGCTTACCGTTTATTATCCGCTTCGCTTTCATCGATCTCGACAGCGAGAATCTTGAGAAAAGAGTTTGAAAAATCGCGTTCGCGAATATGGAGAATCGCCGACGACGGTACATACGAGAGAGAGAGAGAGAGAGAGAGAGAGAGAGAGAGAGAGAGAGAGAGAG